TCCAGCTGCTCCACCATCTGCTGAAGCTCGCGCTCCATGAACGTTGGAGGGGCTCGTCCTTGTTTCAGCTGCCAGTCCTGCAACCCCTCGAAGGCCTCCATCATCATCTGGCGGAAGTAGGGTCCCTGTACGCAAACGTTACCTTCTTCATGCCCCGCTGGAACACCTTCTCCACCTTGCAGCACAAGATCAGCTCGCACTTCTTCTTCGCCGTCCAACTGCTGTACTCGTCGTACGCGCTCTTGAGCTTGACGTGGAGCTCCTTGGTCAGGGACACCCCCTGCGTGGGAGTATCGGGTTGCTGTTCCTTCAGCCACTCCAACGCTCCTCCGAAGGCCCAGATCAGTGGCGGGCCGTACTCGTGATCTTTCTTGCCTTTCACCAGCTCGCTGCACGTGGAGGTTTGCCCCCCCATGCGCAAGATGATGGGATGGTTCTCTGGGCCGAGGTACACGTCGAAGAGCGTGGCCATGACCTCGCGCTGCTGCTGGGAATTGCGGAGGATCTGGCGCATCATCATGCCGTACACCTGCTTCTGTCCCGACTTCCACGTCTTCACCTCCTTGAGCCCGTCGGCGCGCTTGCCGTCGTCCTCGCCCTGGCGCGACCGCACCGCGCGGACGTGCGCTGCTGGAGCGCCCCCGGCGCCCGCTGCCGCCAGCGTTGCCGGCATGAACTGCCCGCCTCGGATGGGCGGGACGAGGAACAACAAGCCGCGGAAGCGGCAAGGGTAAGTGCACGCGTCGAAGGTGTTCGTGCAGTTCACTCACTGAGCCAAAAACCGCTACGTCGCATAGTCCGCATCTAAGTTCAGAAGGTGTCCGAATCTCCCAAGACATGTGGGCCCTGCCAAGTTGACAACGTCCATTAGCGTAAGCCCGTTTGAGATGATGTTGGGTAGATTGCCGATCCCGAAAGACAGAGCAGCAGTTAGGGCACTGATTTAATATCACTCCAGAGTTTAGGATAGAACGGATACCATGATGCGCCGTTTGATGTGCTAGAAGCTGTTGATAAGTAGCAAAGCCAAGATCACAACTCTGATGGGTAGAATCTAAGAGCTTACATACATGTTCTTGATCAGACTGTGGGACCTGGAATTGAATAAGACGAAATAGTCGGTCCCAATGCCTTCTATCCGTAAAGACTGCAGAGCGTAAAAGGCTGGGGTCTATCTTCGAAAACTCATGAGCCGAATCTGAGTTCTCCTGGAATAGCTCTTTCCACGAATCGCCTGAAGCCCCCCATACTTCAAAGAACGTCTCTGTACCACTAATATCACGATGACAGTCGAGGTCACGAGCAAACTGACGTATCCACGGATTGGCCGTGCTGCTTAATGTGCCAGATGGTGTGAGTGTGGATTCCTCGTTCAGGATGTGTCCTAAGAGGACCGAGACGGTCTGAGCGTGAGCGTGCCTATGCTGAACCATACTCTGGAGCCAACGAACCCATCGAACCGCGAGCTCGCCCGCGCTCGGCAGGATGCGCCACTCACGCAGGACCTCGTCGTTGCTCAACGATACGGCGTGGGATCCCTCCCAGTTCGTCGCCGAGCCTTTCATCAGTACGCGAAGGTAGCGGACGATGATAACGTCGATACGAGCGTGCTCCGACGAGGTGAGAACGAACGCCTCGAGCCCCGTAAGGCCCTTTTCCACGACAGTGCTGAGATAGAGTTTCCGCTTAAGTCGTCGTAGTCCCCTTTCATGCCAGAAGAGACCCATCATACTCCACCCTCCTCTCATCCCCTGGATACGTAGCTCCACCTCCACACCGTTGTTCCCTTTCATCGTGTAGCGTGCGCCTAGATGCCGTGCATGTGCTTTAACTGCGCCGTGTTTAGCAGGACAAAGTTCTTGCAATTGTCGATTAGTTAGGGTGGGGCCAAGATGTGGTATAATGTCTTTCTTGCCCGTATTCTGAGAGAAACACCACTTCTGGAGAATGCGATTCATAGCTGCATCACTGGCTGAGATATTCTGAATAACTTCCTGAACATTCAGATTGCGAGGTACAAGACGCTTACGGAAGATGTCGTCAGCAAAGCCCGAGAGGGAGACGTCAATGCTAGATTCACTGCCAACTTCGCAATGAGCAAGAATGGGAGTATGCGTAGGATCAGCACGCAATTCCTCAATTGTCTCATGGAAGACCCCGACGAATTGTTTAGGCATCTCGCAAGACCCCTGGAAACCCCCGTTCTTCGTAAGAAAGACGCTCCTGATGCAACTTGAAACTCACGACGCCATTCCGAATACGCTGTTCTGCAAAGACCTGGAACTCTGGCTTCACAACTCGATCACCCACAGCCGCTAAAGATGAGGAGGATGGGCACATGAACGCATTGCTAAGATCGTGGAGCTCATTCAAGTGAGGGAGGGCAAGACGACGAAGAGCGAAGCCGACGCGCTGTTGGACAAGGATTGCCCCCTCCCTCCGCCGATGCCTTAAGAACCCATGCCACCACCCAGGGAAACTTGAGTCGTAATGCTTAGCTTCCTCCCCCCCCCCAGCTATAGATAACGGCGTGCCAGAATTTCCAAAACGTGTCCAGCAGGTGGATAACTCTAACGCTTTGCATCTTGTCCTTGTTATTGCTCTTGTCTAAGAATACACCCTCAGTAGTGTTGGCCTTCGTAGGGAGTTGCTCCACTTGCATTGCATGAATAATAATATCTATAAATGCTCTACGAGCGCGTAACAGCCCAGCTGAAACCAGGAAGCGGTTCTCACGGCCATCTTCAGCCCTAGCACCGCCATGGGCACCAGGGGTTTCACTCCGGAACAGACTCGGTGCGGGAGAACCAGCAATGCGCGCATCAAGGTCGTCGTCTGCCTGGCCCACCGCTGGAAAGAATTCATCATCAGCTCGTGGCACAAACTGTCCAGGTACGGGCGCAGGATCAGGTGTAGCACTTGCATAGCCTAAACCAAAACCTTGAAAACGGGTTTTAGACAGATGACCAGGGTCGAGAACCATGAGGGCGACTTCGACGGGGACGCTCCAGCTGACTGTGGCACGACGTTTCTTTGCCCGACGTAGCTGATAGAGTAGCCTAGTCACCGACGTCTCCGCCAGCACTTCCATGTGATAAGTTCGGGTGAGACTGCCAGCAATGGGGGGAACCGCCAAAAACTCGGCCAACTTAGTCTTATAGTCCTCCAGATAAGTCGCCCCCATTCCTCCATCAGCTCCTTTACACGTGATAGCCTCCTTCAGCTCAGAGAAATCGGGGGTAAATCCAGATATGTGGTTATATTTACGGTGCTTAACCCCCGTGGACCTCCCAGCTAAGACACGTGCTAATCGGTGAACCTCGGCCTGGTGGCCCAGGCGGCGGGCCTCATGGAGGTCCTCGAGCGCAGCAGCCCGCCGTCGAGCGCGAGTCCTGCGGAAGAGACGACGGAGCAGACCACCAAGGTGACGGATTCTCCTGCGGCACTCCAAGTGTTCCTCCGAATAGCAGGGGAGATGGCCATAGGTAGTCCAATAATGATGGAACTCCCAACGATGCTGATGACGTTCACGGACGAGAGATAAGCGCTCACGACGTAAAACACGATACACATCATGCTGAGGGATAGGTGCGAGTGCAAAGTGCTTGCGCGCCGTGTCCTGTACTATGCTAATGCGGTGATCATACTCACGATCTGTGTGCGTGTCCTGCTGGTACTCAGAGAAGGTAGGTTCCGCAGACGCAAAACTTGCCTCCAATTCTTCGTGAAACTCTTTCCGATACAAACCAGACTGCAGAGCTGCGAAATTCGGGTCCCGAAAAAAGTGAGGCATGGCATACTGGACTTACAAAAGTACTGGCATATGGTCGCGCGGTCGCCCGCTCGGAATCAGCTGAAGCTCTCGCCCGCTCCTCCAGGCCACCTGACACCTCTTTACCCCAGGAAGAAGACCACGAGGAACTAGAAACATGTCGATGGTGCTGGTCTCCCCCTTATTGCCATAGAATGTCGGACCAGCATGGGGGTAGAAAGTGCACGGGGCCGCCATATCTAAATCGAGGACGAGATCGCCAACCATCGTGCCCCCGAGTCCCTGACGACCGACATGATGAGGACCGATCTGTTCACCAGCCTCATCTCGACGCAAACCATCACTTCCCAGACCAAGACTAGAGTTGAGATCCATGCCTACGACTACTGTACTGCGTGTCGCGGCTCGTTCAACACGTGCTCTGAGATGCTCACGTGTGCTTTATTGCTTTTATTTGGGCTCGACGCTTCCCCCCAGATTCATACAAGGGCGGCGGGTACACCGTGATCAGCGTAAGATCTAGACCAGGACCCTTGATGCGGACTTCGCCATAACGTCCAGGGATGTTCGAAGGACCTGCGTGCACGTGCTTGATGTAGTTAGGGTGTAGACGCCTCCCCAATATGATGCAACATCCCGCGCTAGAATTCGAGTGAGGGGCCCGACTCCAGCCGAAGTGTAGTGCGATCCTGCGAGAACTCAAACCCTCCACGTGATACGTACGGCCTACCCATTCCCGAACACACGTGCCCTGGAGGAAGATCACATCCACGTTAAACGAAAACAAGCAATCTCATCTACTCTTCCTGCAGATACCAGGCTCAAAGGGTTGTACGTGACAAACTTCAGAGACATGCTACTTCTGAAAACAACTGCACTTCTGAAAGCCACTGGGAAAAATATGTTGCCCCCCACGAACGTCACCTGCACACATCAGAGATAGGCCCAGCCATGGACAGGCGCAACGCTGGGGTGTGGAAGTGTGTGCGATCGCCCCTGAAAAAGAGGAAGCTCGAAGGGAAGGGGCTAGGAGGAGGAGGAGGAGGAGGAGGAGGAGGAGGAGGAGGAGGAGGAGGAGGAGGAGGAGGAGGAGGAGGAGGAGGAGGAGGAGGAGGAGTCATGAGAGGGATCCAGGAAGTGTAACTGGGCTTTCGCGAGGCACGCGATCAACCGCGGTCCCAGCGTGGCATGGGGCCCCCTCGCACTCCGGCGGGAGGGAGGGGCGCTCCTGCACGTACTCCCCCTCCAGGTCGAGCGCCCCGCTCGCGACGAGGGCGAGCCCGCCCGCGGGCCAGCGGACGATGGAGCCGTACACGTCGCGGACGGGGGAGGCCACCCTCAGGAGGCACTCGCGCCTGCCCACGTGCCACACCTCTCGCGGGGCCGCCAGGGGAGCGACGCGACGACGGGGGCCCCACCTGGGGAGCCCACGGGGGACGTGCGCGCCCCACCACGGGGTCCCAAGAGAGGACGGAGGCCCAACCGGGCACCAAGCCGGCCCGACGAGGGCCCCGAAGGGCGGCTCCAGGACGCCCCCCGAAGCACTCCAGAACGGAGGAGGGGTCCAAGAGAGGACGGAGGCCCACCAGAGCCCCATGATGACCCGAAGATGGGAAACCACATACATGAACGCGGCCTCCCAGTCCGCGAGACCAGCCGCGTGATAGGAGCTCTCGCGCAATGCGCACTCTCGGAACCAACGCGGGTTCATGTGCATGTGCGCCCGCCTTTCGCTCCTCATTGCGCGAGATGGCACAGCGACCTCGCGCGGTGGCTTACGCGAGCCGCCGGCACGACACGCCACATCGGAAACGAGGGCGCTTACGCGCGACCTTGCGCGGGCAGCTTACGCACCAATGTTGGTGAATACGACCAACCTTTTTTGCGTCGCTGAAGCAGTGACGAGGGGTAACGTCCAGGGGGGACCAGCTCGAGGGGGGGCATCGACCTGGAATCGGCGATACATCGCCGAAAGATCAACTCGCAGAGGAAAAAAATGCACACGCCCGAGCGATGCCGAGCGGAGCGCGTCGAGGAGCGCCCGATGGGCCACCTGCCCACCACCACTGCACCAGGGGCAGGACGACGGAGGAGGTCCTCCTCCTCCTCCTCCTCCTCCTCCTCCTCCTCCTCCTCGTCCCGCTCCTGCCCGTGGGTGGTGGTCCGCGGTGGGTGGCACATCGGCCCAACAGCGCCGGCGGCGCCGCTCTCCGCGTGCGCTCGGGCGTCCCCGGTGTCGGGCGGTTTCTCCGCGCCCGCCCCGCGGCCGGGCACGGCTGGAGGGGAGGCGCACGGGGCGGCAGCCCCGGGAGGGGGCGGAGGCCCCACGGGGCCCCAAGATTGAGGAGGAGGAGGAGGAGGAGGAGGAGGAGGAGGAGGAGGAGGAGCGGGGGGAGAGGAGGAGGAGGAGGAGGAGGTGGAGGAGGAGGAGGGAGGAGGCGGAGGAGGAGGAGGAGGAGGAGGAGGAGTGAGGGGGAGAGGGGGAGGAGGAGGAGGAGGAGGAAGGAGGAGGAGGAGGGGAGGAGGAGGAGGAGGAGGAGGAGGGAGGAGGAGGAGGAGGAGGAGGAGGCGGAGGAGGAGGAGGAGGAGGAGGAGGAGGAGGAGGAGGAGGAGGGAGGAGGAGGAGAGGCGGAGGAGGATGGACGGAGGGGGGGGAGGAGGAGGAGGGAGGAGGTGGAGGGAGGAGGAGGCAGGAGGAGGAGGAGGAGGAGGAGGAGGAGGATGAGAAGGAGGAGGAGGAGGATGAGGCGGAGGAGAAGGCGGAGGAGGAGGAGGAGGAGGAGAAGGAGGAGGAAGGGGAGGAGGGTGGAGAGGAGGCGGAGGAGGAGGAGAAGAGGAAGGCGGAAGAAGAAGAGGAGGAGGAGGAAAGAGAGGAGGACGGTAGCGGGGGGGGGAGGAGGGAGGAGGCGGAGGAGGAGGAGAGAGGAGGAGGAGGAGGAGGAGGAGGAGGAGGAGGAGGAGGAGGATGAGGAGGAGGAGGAGGGGGAGGAGGAGAAGGAGGAGGAGGAGGAGGAGGAGGAGGAGGCGGAGAAGGAGGAGGTGGAGGAAGAGGAAGAGGGCGAAAAAGAAAAATAATCATAAGGGGGGGAAGCGAGGTGGCGGTGAGCGATGGTTTGGGAGCGGGAGGGATAAGGTCTTCTCTCGGAAGGCGGCGGGACTCCTCAGAGGCCCTCGCGCCCTTCTGAGGGGTTTGCTGCGTCTCCGGGGAAGGCTCAGCAAACTTCAGGCCGGGGGACTTCCGAGCCTTCTAAGAAGGCCCGCCCCTTCTCACTTCCCTCCCCCGGGCTCGCCGCCCACAGGTGGCCCGAATACAGGAAGCCCACAGAAGACACGCGCCCAACCACGTACATGAACATGGTCCCCCCCCCAACCGCAAGACCAGCCGCGTGAGAGGAACGCTCTGCGCAATGCGTACTCTCGGAACCAACGTGGACTCATGTACTTGTACGTCATTCTCTCGCTCCCGAGAAGAGGGCCCCGAAGCACTCCAAACCGTGACACGGTCGTTGTGAGAGGCCGTGGTTCGCAGCAAGGTGGCCCGAGGAAGCCCCCAGAGGCCCCAAGCAGGCGCCCAGGAGGATTCTGTGGCGCCAGGGCTCGAGGATCACGGTGTCCAGGTCTTTCTGCGCCATCTCGGAGCCCCCAAGGCCCTCGAATGCCTCGTGGCGTCTGCCCCCAGGGCGATCTTGCCTCCTGGGCAAGCCCGGGGCACCCTGGGCCAAGGCTTGCCTCGGGCAGCGCCCTGGCTGCGCAGAAAGGACCTGACCGATCGAGTGCCAGGGCGTAGTGCATACGTGAAAGCCTCTGACACAGGGTCCGAGTAGACGGAATCAGAGGATCGCGCCGCATCGCCGATACATCGGCGATACGTTGGCGTGGAGCAAATTGGGCTCCACATCGAGCCGCATTGTCGATGCGTCGGCGATACGGCACGATCCTCCGACCCCACCTCCTCGGACCCCATCTGGGAGGCCTGGAATACGCCCTCCTAGGCAGGGGCGCGATCGAGGGAGGAGGAGGAGGAGGAGGAGGAGGAGGAGGAGGAGGAGGAGGAGGAGGAGGAGGAGGAGGAGGGAGGAGGAGGAGGAGGAGGAGGAGGAGGAGGAGGAGGAGGAGGAGGATCCTGAGGTGTATACGCCCTCGTCTGGCCGATGCCGGGGCCTATGCACCAGCCCTGGGGCAGAGGATGGCCCTTGGCCAGTCGCGGTGGTGCTGTGCAAATGCCCTGTGCGGGCGGACCTCCGCCATCGGCAGCGACGGGCCGTCGGTAGAGACGGCGATGTAGTCGAACTCCAGGTCCGGGCACCACTGCAAGTGGGCGACGGCGCTGCTGTGCTGGAGCGCGGCCTCCAGGGCTGGCATGCCGTCCTGGCCGAAGCTGTAGATGCACGTCGTGCAGTCGCGCGAGCAGGTGGCGAGGCGCCTGTGGAAGAGCGCCAGGCACGGTCGGGAACTTGCTCAGCGACACGCAATGCCCTGCAAGCGGACAGCGTGTCGCTCCGCTCCGCGTGGCAGGAGGCTGTGAACAGCTCGGGACGTTGACGCTTGTGGACTCGTGTAGCGCCGAGGCGCGGTGGATCAGAACCAGCGGCGCGACACTGGAGACGCTAACCAAAAGTTCCTGACCGTACACACCGAAACCGATCCTGGCCTGTCCCATCCTGGGCCCAGGATCGGTGGCCAGGAAGGCGTCTAGGTATGGACGAACGGCAGGATTGTAAAGGGAGGAGGTTTACGAATCAACTCACGTGTCTGGTTTTCCTGGCGCCAGAAGCGAGCATGTACCAAGGAAGCGGGGCCCCCCCGGCGGGGCCGAAAACAGGCGCACCAGGGCCCCAGATTTCCACCCCCCCACTGTCGCCCGACCCGCGTGTGCACCAACTTTGGGCCCAGCATGGAACTGGCCAGGGCCGGCGTCGCGCCCCCGCCCGCGCCTGCCGCAGGGCGAGAAGCTCGCGAAGAGCACCTCGTCGCTGTGGTCCTGAAATGAAAGAAAAGAAAAACGCATGTTAGCCAGCGCGAACATCAATCACGGTGTTTCTAGCAAGCTATGTGATGCAACCGATGTGGAGCAGCCTGTGTGGTGCAATCCACTCTGCTGAACTTGAAGTCGTCATCTCCACTGCTCGCGCAAACATCCCACCCACCCACCCGCAACTTGGTTTGCAAAACCTCTTAAGACCGACTACGACGACACCACGACAACGACGACGACGACACCGACGACGTCTCCGACGACTTCGACGACGACAACGACGCCGACGCCGACGACGACGAAGACGACGACGCCAACGAAGGCGACGACGAGGGAGGAGGAAGGACGACGACGGCGACAACGACGACAACGACGACAACGACGAGGGAGGAGGGAGGACGGCGACGACGCGAACGACGAAGAAGGAGGAAGGACGGCGACGCCGACGACGACAACGACGAGGGAGGAGGGAAGACGACGACGACGACAACACGACGACGACGACGACGGCGACGAAATAGGAGGGACGACGACGAGACGCCGACGACGGACGACGACGACGACGTGGGAGGAGGAGGAAGGACGACCACGGCGACAACGACGACGGAAACGACCACGACGCCAAAGAGGACGACGACGACGAGCACGAGGAAAGACAGAGGACGACGTAGACGACGACGACGACGACGACGCGGGAGGAGGGAGGACGGCGACGACGACGACGACGACGCAAGAGCGCGCGCGCACGCTTTTGTTGAAAATCCGTGTTGCGAAACCTTGGGTTTTTGTAGGTTTTTTGGACGCACGATTTTGACATCCTTCCGAAACCGATGGGTTTGGAAGGTTTTCGGCATACGCCAACGACGACGCGCGCGTCTGCACTTCGTTTCGTTTTTTGCAGAGGATTCTCGCGACGGCACACGCGCAAGGGCGTTCGACAGATTTCGACATGCGCGCGCGCGAAGTCCGTTTGGTAGCATTTGGTGAAAATCTTGAAAACCAATGGTTTTCTTAAGATTTCGCAAGAGCGCGCGCGGAAGTTTTTTTAGCAACTCAGTGTTGCGAAACCATGTGTTTTTGTATGTTTGTTTGGAAACTCGATTGCGAACTCCTTCCGGCACCGACGGTTTTTGAAGGATTTCGGCATGCGCGCGCGACGACGCGCGCGTGTGCACTTCGTCCAATGTGTTGCAAGGGATTCGTGAAAAAGTGTTATGTTAGAACAACAAGTGTCACCGCATAGTGTTTTTTAGAAGGGAACCTCAGGGGGGGGAAACCGGCCCAGCTGGGATGGTATGATTTCATATTTAGGATGGACGAGCGTGCAGAAAATATATGAAATCATACGATCCCTAGGGGAACCGATAACTCCGGGGGGGGTATTCTCTTTTTAGAAAAGGAGAATCGACGTGGCACAATATATGTGGTTCCAATCTGGGTGGTGCAATCTCTGCATGGTGCAGCCTACCTATGTGATGCAATTTATACGTGGTGCAATCTACGTGGTGCAATATCGTGGTGCAATATCTATGTGATGCAGTTTGTACGCGGTGCTATATGTGTTGTGCAACCCGTGTGAAACAATATATGTGGCATAATTGATTTTTACAAACGATTTGACACATGACGCGTTTTTGCCAACATCCCACCCATCCACCCGCAACTTGGTTTGTAAAACTTATGCGGCGGCGATTGCGATGAGTGTTTCGCGCTGGCTGGCGCATCGGTGCGGCCGCGTTGGCGCGCAAGCTCGCGCGCAAAGCGGCCAGCTCGTCTGGCGCCACCGACGCAGCCGCAGTGGCGCTGACCGCCTGGGCACATCCCAGCGGGCACTTCAGTGCGAGTCGGCGACTCGGGCGGGCGCGGTTTCATGGCAGCGTCGACAACGGTAGACGCGATGGTGATCGTGGCGATGCTGGTGGCGATGTTCGGCCCGACGAATGCGTGGCCAATGCGGGCGCCGATGCTGATCGCGCCGACGACGATGGCGGCGTCCTCGCGTCGGCGATGAAGCTTTTGGACGGAGTTCGACATGTGCGCGCGGCCGACGCGCGAGAGTGACCGCATGGCAATATTTGACACGGATCGTGCCATCCCAACGTGCGCGCAAGGGCGTTCGAATGATTTCGGCATGCGGCGTGAGAAGCCAATTTGGGCAGAAGCCAATGCAACTTTTGAAAACACAGTGATTTTCTTAAGTATTCGCGACAGCGCGAGAGCAAGCTGTTTGGAAAACTGATGTTGCGAAACCGCATGTTGTCGCATGGTTTCGGGGCGCTCGGTTGCAAAATCCTTGCGACTCCCCAGGTTTTTGAAAGATTTCGGCAGGCGCGCGCGACGACGCGCGCATGCGCTTCGTCTTTTTGTTGTTGTTTGTTTTGTTCAATCTTTTTTGCAAATGGATTCTCGCGACAGCAAGCGCGCAGTGGCGTTCGAACGAGCTCGACACGTGCGCGCGCGAAGCCCGTTTAGTAGCATGTCCTGTCAATGTTGTATAACCTTCGGTTTTCTTCAAAATTCGCAAGAGCGCGCAAGCTTGTTTTGAACATCCGTGTTGCGACATCATGTTTGTGTGTGTGTGTGTCTGTGTGTGTGTGTGTTTTGGACATTCGATTTTGCCTTCCCTACGAAATCCGATGTTTTTTTGCAGGATTCCGGCAATCGCGCGCGACGACGCGCGCGTGTGCACTTCGTCCCTTTTTTGCAATGGAATTTTGGAAACTGATGGTTTTTGATAAACGAGTGCGCGCGTACTGTTTGTTGTAATGGATGACGGGGGGGTCGATACTTGTTGGGCTGGGATGGTCTGAGTTCATGTTTAGGATGGACGATGGGGCAGAATCATATGTAAATTGCAATACGAAAAACTGTGCAGATAATCCGGGGGGGGGGGGGGGGGTAAAATCGAAGTCCCTTAAAGATACGAGAACCTATGTGCTGCAACCCGCGTGCTGCGCAATCTATGTGGTGCAATTGAGTTTCACAAGCGAGTTGACGCATCCCCTGCCCGTGCAAACATCCCGCCCACCCACCCGCTACTTGGTTTGTAAAACCCGTGCGGTGGCGATTGCGATGCATGCTTGGCGTTGGCCGGTGCACCCCTGCGGCCGCGGCAACGCTGGCGCGCGCGCAAAGCGGCCAGCTAGTTCGGCGCCGGCGACGCGGCCGAGGCGGCGCTGACCGCTGGGCACGCCCCAGCGGGCACTTCAGTGCGAGTCGGCGACTTGGGCGGGCGCGGTGCCATGGCAGCGCCGACTACGGTAGACGCGACGATGATGATATTGGCGATGCTGGTGACGATGTTCGCCCCGACGAATGCGTGGCCAATGCGGGCGCCGATGCTGATCGCGCCGACGACGATGACGGCGTCCTCGCGTCGGTGATGAAGCTTCTGGAAAGAGTTCGACGCGCGAGCGCGGCCGACGCGCGGAAGTGGCCCGCGCGGTTTTCTTGGGCGCGGATCGTGCCCCCTCAGCGCGCGCGCAAGGGCGCGCGAATGATGTCGGCCTGCGGCGCCGCAAGTCCGTTCGGCAGAATCCCGCGACACTTTGACAACACCATGGTTTCCTTAAGGATTCGCAAGAGCGCGCGCAAGTGTTTTTTGTGTGAAAGCTGATGTTGCGAAATTGTTGTGTTACCCTTGGTTTTGAAATCGTTGCTGGCATGCGCGCGCGCGACGGCGCGCGCGCGTGCACTGCGCCCCATTTGTTGCAGAGGATTCTCGCAGCGGCATGCGCGCATGCGCGTTTGAACGATTTCAGCATGGGTGCGCGCGACGCCGGTTTGGCAGTATGTTCTGAACATGTTAAGCAACCTATTCTGTCTCACGAGTTCGCCAGAGCACGCATTGTTTTGTGTTTGAAGATTAGTGTTGCGAAACTATGGTTTCTTTATCGTGTTTTTCATTGGCGCTCGATTTGGACATCCTTACGAAGCATTTGTTTAAGATTGCGGCGTGCGCGCGACGACGCGCGCGTGTGCGCGTCGCGCCATTTTCTGCAAGTCTTGACAACTTGTGGTATGTGATAAACGAGTGCGCGCGCATAGTTCTATTGCAGAAGATGGCGGGTGGGGGGGGGTCGATGCTGGCTGGGCTGGGATGGTATGGGCTCGTATTTAGGATGGGAGATGGGGCAGAGTCATATGTTAATTGCGGCGGAAAAATGCACCGATCCACCCGGGCAGCGTAAGAGCCTATTCTCTTTTTAGAAAGGAGAATCGACGTTGTGCAACGAGCGCGGCGCAGTCTATGCTGTGCAACCTCTGTCGTGTATCCTGTGTGGCGCAATCGACGAGGCGCTGTGGTGACTTCGACTACCTGACGCATCGCGTGACCACTTCCGCGCGCGCGCGACCAACGCGCGCGAGCGGTCCGCGTGGCTCTGTTTGACAGGGGCCGCGCTCACCCCGCGCGCGCGCGAGGGCGTCCGAATGTTCGAATGATTTCGACATGCGCGCGTGAAGAGGCCCGCTTGGTCGTATTTGATGAGCATGTTTAACAACGTATGGTTTCTCGAGAACTCGCGGGGGCGCACTCAAACCTTTTGGAGCACTCCTGATGGAACACAATGGGTTTGCAAACATGTTTCGAGACATTCGATTTTTGGCATCGCCACAACACCTTCGTTTGTTTGACAGATTTTGACGCGCGACCACGAAAATGCGCGCGCGTGTGGATTTCGTCCATGTTTTGCACGTGGCTTTTGCAGCTTGATGGTTCTTGATCAGCGAATGTGCGCGTATACTGTTTCTTGCAGTATACGGGGGGGGGGGGGGGGCGGATGCTAGCCTGCCCGGGATGGTTTGAACTCAGATGTAAAATAACGATGGGATACAATCGTATGTAAACAACAGTGCGCGAAGCCGAAAGGATAATCCCGGGGGGGTAGATCTCAATCCCACCAGCCCTTTAGGGCGTAGGTGGTCTAGGGAGTTTCCTCTGCCAACCCCCTTCTTCCCCTTCGGGGAGGGGTTTACCCCTCCCCTTACCCCTCCCCACTGACCTGGACGGGGCCGGTCGCGAGGTGTCAGAGCGTCCAAGATGGCCCAAGACAGCTCCAAGAGCGAACAGGCGAGAAAACACAAAACATTGATTTTACTCAGGTTTTGGAAGGATTTTGGCATCTTGGGGGGGCCCAAGAGGCGACTCGAGGCACTCTGGAGGGGCGGGGCTAATAAGCACCCCCCCCTTCTTTGATAGATCTCCCCAAGATGGCCCAAAGAGCGCCCCGAAGGCTCCCAAGAGCGCCCCAAGAGCGCCTCAAGAGGGCCCCAAGAGACCCCAAGAGGCCCCCAAGAAGCCTCCAAGACGTTGCCAAGAGACCCCCAAGAGGCCCCAAGAGAGTCCAAGATGACCCAAGACGGCTCCAAGAGCGAAAAGGCGAGAAAGCAACAAACATTGATTTTACCTAGGTTTTGGAAGGATTTTGGCCTCTTGGGGCGCCCAAGAGGCGACTCGAGGCACTCTAGAGGGGCAGCGCTAATTGGGGAACCCCCCTTCTTTGATAGATCTCCTCCAAGATGGCCCCAAGAGCGCCTCGAAGGCTCCCAAGAGCGCCCCAAGAGCGCCCCAAGAGAGCCCCAAGAGGCCCCAAAAGGCCCCCATGAGGCCTCCAAGAGGCCCCCAAGAGACCCCCAAGAGGCCACAAGAGGCCCCCCGAGATACGCAAGAGGCCCCCGGGACCGCCAAGAGGCCCCAAAGACGGCCCAAGAGGCCCCCAAGCTCGCCATTGTCCTCCTCCTCCTCCTCCTCTTTTTCTTCCTCCTCCCTCCTCCCCCTCCCCCTCCTCCTCCTTCCTCCTCCTCCTCCTCCTTTTCCTTTTCCTCCTTCTCGTCCTCCTCGTCCTCGCAGTCCTCCATCTCCTCCTCCTTATCTTCCTCCTCCTCCTCCTCCTCCTCCTCCTGCTCCTCCTCCTGCTCCTCCTCTTCCTCCTCCTACTCCGACGACGACGGCTCCTCCTACATCCTCCCCCTCTTGGGGTATATGGCGGCTCACCCCGCCCTTTGTTCTTCTGCATGCTCCCTCGCTTCCCTCATAACCTCCACTCCCCTGGGACTCATTTCTGGACGGGCTGGTGGGGATACGCGAAGCGTCTAGAATTTTTTGAAAAGGAGAACCTGTGTGGTGCCGCCTGTATTTTGCAACCTACGTGGTGCAATATATGTTGTGCAATGAATCATTTGCTCAACGTGAAGCTGTCCTTTCCGCTGCTCGTGCGTGCGAACATCCCACCCTCCCACCCACAACTTGGCCGCAATACCTCTTAAGACTGTGACGGTGGGTACCAAATAGCACTTGGCAGCGACACCGACGCCGACGACGACAGCGACAACGACGACGACGACGCCGCCGAGAACGACGACACCGACGACGTTTCTAGGCGGCGACGGAGCGGCGACGGGGCGGCGACGGCGACCACGGAACCGCCAGAGCGCCGCCCGGGCCCAGACGACGGGCGGCGACGAGGTGGCGACGGAGCGGCGACAGCGACCGCGGAGCCGCCAGACCGCCAACCAGGACCAGATGACGGGCGAGGGGGGCAGAGCCTGCTTGAGCCGGAGGCGCGCGCGGCGGGCCAGTTTCTCTCTCTCTCTCTCTCTCTCTCCGCTCTCGCGCGCGCGTCTCGCCTCTGTCTCTCTTCTTTCTCTGTTCTGGCTGCCATCCCTGCCTCTTCCTTGCTCCTTGTGTATCCCCTCCTGCACGGCGACCACGGAGCCGCTGGACCGCCAGACAGGGCCCAGCTCCGTACGACAAACACGTGAGACCCCCTACGTGTGAACACTGCTTGGCGAACAGACATCCGCTTTCCGAGGCCCGCGCGGACTTGTTGGATCGGCGCTGGGCCTTCCCTCCCCTCTGCGCGCGGAGCGCGCAGAGGGGCGGCGCCAGAGGGGCGCCGCCAGTGGGGGCCCCGGCGCCGATCCGAGAAGTCCGCGCGGACCTCGGGGCAGCTCATGCTTCGATGCTTAAGAAAACCTAAGTTTTCGTCCAGAGTCTCGATTATTCTTAACTTTTCAATGTAAATCCCAAGATTTTGACAGAAGTTCTGGGTTTTATTCAATTTCTGAGACTATGAATTTCTTAACCCATGATTTCTTAAGCATTTCGCAGGGTGTATGCAATTTGCGCTGCTCTTCGTTCCTCGAGGCGCGCCAGCAGCCTCGAGGGCGTGTGGGCCATCACGTGCCGCAGCTCCTGACGAACGAACAGCACACACACACACGCACACACACACACACACACACACGCGCACACACACACACACACACACACACACACACACACACACACACACACACACACACACACACACACACACACACACACACTCATAACCACAGGGGTGGTCGGAGGGAGGAGGATCAGCCATGGGTGTGGGTACGGGTTGCCGGACCCCGGGGGGAGGCTCCCGTTTGAGCGGGGACCCCCCTCCGACAACGCGCACCCAATGGCCCCCTCCATCCCCCCATGGGTACCCATCCGTCGGAAGAAGTAGGTAGAAACATGAAGTAGGAAGGCGTTGAGAGAAGATTGGGCTCCGTCCGCCCCCTAAGGAGGACGGAAACAGGTGAAGCCACTCGATCATCGCAGCAGGAAGGCGCTTAAAGTACCCAGACCCTCGACGTCATGATTTTTTCATGACGCGACCCCGCAGAGGTCTCGACCCCTTCCCCGGGACCGGGTTTTCGTCCCGACTCGTTTTTTGACGGCCCCGAGGCCCAGCAAGGGCCCCCAGAGGCCGAAAATAGCGAAACACATCCCGTCGTGATTGTTGTCACGGCGCGAGGGGGTCTGGGTAGCTTGGCACCTGGGAATCCCCAAAGTAACCTACCTTCCAACGACCCCAGACCCCCGACGTAATGATTTTTTCATTACGTCGACTCCAGAGTTCTCGACCCCTTCCCCAGGACCGGTTTGTCATCCTGAGTCGTTTTTTGACGCTCCCGAAGCCCGGTGAGGGCCCCCAGAGGCCGAAAATGGCGAAAAACCTCCCGTCGTGATTTTTTCATTACTCGAGGGGGTCTGGGACCGATGGGTGTGGGTGCGTGCTGTTCCTTCGCCAGCTCCTCCCGCCAGGTCGGGAACCTGTGCGGCCGGCCCGGGCCTGCGCCTGGGGCGCAGCGCACGGCGGAGCGCGCAATCGGCTCCGCGGGCGCACCTCCGCGGCGCGGGGCCGGGGCGGGGCGTCCGACAGGGCCCAGGCACCGGCAGCATCGGACCGGGACATGGCTCCTCTGGTGCGTGTGAGATCCCCTCCCAGACCCCCTCGGGTAATGAAAAAATCATGACGGGAGGTTTTTGTACATTTTCTGCCTCTGGGGGCCCTCACCGGGCTTCGGGAGCGTCAAAAAACGACTCAGGATGAAAAACCGGTCCTGGGGAAGGGGTCGAGAAGTCTGGGGTCGACGTAATGAAAAAATCATTACGTCGGGGGTCTGGGCTCTGTGCACTGCATCTCTCCGCTCCGCCTCCGGTCAAAGCGTCGAGGATGCTCGTTCGATGCCGCCCCGTAGGCAGCTTGGCCCGAGGAGCCCCCTGGGGGGGCGACCCGGGCAGCCTCTTTTTCTGTTCGCCTGAAGCTCGATCCAAGACAAGATGTATCGGGCGCCGCTTGGTGGTCTCCAAACCAGGTGGTGAGACACCCGGTGGTGACCCCGATTCTCCCAAACAACAATTCTGGGTCACCACCGGGCTTGGGGACACGCGGTCGCCACGAGGTTTTGCGTTTCCTGGGCCAGCCAGCGGTCGAAAACCATTACCCAAATCGCCCAAAACTCACCACCGGGTGTTCTCACCACCACGCTTGGGGACCACCAAGCCGCGGCAATTCCAGAGCAGTCCGGGACGCTCCGCGGAAGCCCCGTCTTGGCCCCACCCGGGGGTCGGCCGGCGTCGGCACTGGAAAACTCGGATCGGGTCGGGACGTGCATCGGATCGGGCCGCATCGGCACGAGGAGGAGGAGGAGGAGGAGGAGGAGGAGGAGGAGGAGGAGGAGGAGGAGGAGGAGGGGGAGGAGGAGGAGGGGGGGGTGGGGGAGGAGGAGGAGGAGGAGGGGGCCGAAGTCGAGTCGGATCGGCTGCGCCAGGAGGAGCGGCTGCGCCTCGCAGGCATCGGGCCGCAGCGCGTCGCCGGAGAAGCGAACTCGAGTCGCAGCGAGCCGGCCGTGGTCGAGATCTGACTGGATCGGCCAGCTCAAAGTGGATCCCGCCCCTGTGGTGCAAGCCCCGCCGCCACACGGGTCGCGCTGCCCTGGGCTCGTTGCTTCAGGCCAGCCCCGAGGCCTGCTCCCCTCCCCCCCCTCGTCGAATTCGCCATGCGGCAGAGGGTCGCCGGCGAGCGAGGGGGGGAAGTGAGAAGGAGAAGGCCCTCTCGGAAGGCGGCGTGACTTCTCGGAAGCCCCCGCGCCCTCTGAGAAGTATTCTGTGTCTTCGGGGAAGGCTCAGAACAACTTCTCTCAGGAGGCCGGGGCACTGCCGAGCCTTCTGAGAAGGCCCGCCCCTTCTCACTTCCATTCCCGGGCTCACCGCCGAGAGGGGCCCTGAGGGAAGGGTGTCCTAGAACCCGAGGCATTTCCTGTTGCGCCTGTCTTCGTCCCAGCAGAACAGCACACGTGCTGGGACAAGCGGGGGGGGGTCCAGGAAGGAGCCCAGGAGCCCGAAGAGGAGGGACAGCATCGAAGACCTGCTTCCCCCTCGACCTGCACCTCCCGCACCTTCCGCGCGGCAAGTACTGCGCCGCCGCGGCCGCAGCAGCGGCACCTTCCGCGCGGGAGGTGCGGAAGCAGGTCGAGAGGGCCTCCGGGACCCGTGCCCCTCAGCGCAAGACGTTGCGCACCGGACATTCTCCGACGCACCGGAGCCAGGCGAGCGGCCCAGGCTCCTGGGCAATACACTTCCAGGACCCTGAGTGCCCTGCTGCCGCCTGCTGCCGGAGGCCCGGTCGAGCCCCGCCCAGAGCTTTCTCGCGCCCAGCCAGGGCTCGTTCCTAGACCTCCGACAGTATGGCTTTTTCAGAACGTCGACCCCCGCATCCTGTAGAAGCTTTGACGGTCCTGGGAACGGGTGAGGGCCCCCAGGGGCCGGAAATCGACCCAAACCTCCGTTCCCCTCACGCCGACTGTGGGGAAACCAAAAGAGAACTACCGATACCTCCACTCCCCGGACCTCTGCAGGGGGGCGTTCTGATCAGAATTCTGGAGGCGAATCCAGCTGCGGCGACGAGGGCCTCCCAGGAGGCCCCAGGAGGGCGAGCGCGAGGCCAAGGTCAGGGTATGGGTCCCTTTTCCTCCTCTGAGCCCCTGCCGTGCCTCCTGGCGGCTGCAGGAAGATGTCCCGACCCCGCGCCGTGGGCGAGCTTCTTGTCCTCGGCCCATTTTTGGTGGCCCCGGGGCCCGATCACGGCCCCCGAGGGCCGAAGCCAAGGAACAGCACGCCCGCTGAAATCCTCAGATCGTCTGAGACCCGAGCTCCCTTCACGCCGGCCCTGCCGTGCCTGCCGGCGGCTGCAGGAAGCGTATGCGGCTCCTGCTCGCCAGCGCCGGGTTCGCCCGCACCGCGGCGTCGGTGCGCGCCTCCAGCTCCCAGGCCTCGCGGCGACATGCAAGGGTGACCTTGGGGACCTTTGGTGCGCGGCTCTTGGGGGGCCGCGGGGCGGGCCAAGCACAACCATGCAAGACGTTCGGCGGTCGGCGGCCCCCGTGGGCCCGCACCGAAGGCCACTCCGGCGAAGGGCCACTCTCTTGCGCGTCTCGCCGAGGCCTCGCGCGCGTGGTCGCCCGGCCTCGGCGCGGCGTAGCGCACCAGGTACGCGTTCGTGGCCGGCCGGTACCTGAGGTGGGGGGGCAGCAGACCCAGACCCCCGACGTCATGACTTTTTCATGACGCGACCCCCAGAGGCCTGGACCCCTTCCCCGGGACCAGTTTTTCGTTCTGAGTCGTTTTTTGACGGTCCCGAGGCCGGGTGAGGGCTCCTGGAGGCCGAAAATAGCGAAAAACCTCCCGTCGTGATTTGCTCACAAGGCGAGGGGGTCTGGGGGGGGCAGCAGCCTCCGCCCGATCTCAGACCGCAGGGTCTGCTCCGTCCCCGCGCCTCTCCTGGACCTCGGCCCTCGGGGGCCGTCCTCGGGCCCCGAGGCCACCCCAGCGAGGACCCCGGAGGAGGAGCTGCCCCTGGGCAGGCCGTCGGGACCTCGGAGGCCGCCGATGGAAAAAAAAACATCTCGGCGGCTGGCGGACGTCTTGCGTGGCTCGTGGTGGAGCAGGAACGCGTTTCCCGATTCGCCGCGATGACGGGCGTTATGAGGAGGCGGGGCCCCCGCAGGACGACGAGCGACCATGACGACGACGATGACGACGACGACGATGATGACGACGACGTGAACCTACGACGACGACGAGCGACGAGCGACCACGACCACGATGATGACGACGACGACGACAACGACGACGACGACGACGTCGACGACAACGACGACGGCGACGACGAACGACGTCTCTTGATGTCTCCGGAGGCGTCCCGAGGCCTCCAAAGGCCTCCTGAGGCCTCTGGAAGCCTCCAGAGGCCTTCCGGAGGTCATCCGAAGGCCTCCGGAGGCCCGCGAAAACATTCGAAGGCGCTTGACAACGACGAGCGACCGCGAGCGATGACGACCGACGACAACGACGATGACGAGTGAAAACGAAGAGCGACGACGACGAGCGACGGCGACGAGGACGACGACAACGACGACGACCGATAACGAAGAGTGACGAGGAGCTGTGGCGAGCAAATGCCTGCGAAGGCGTCGTTGTTTCCACGTGGCGGATAAGAGGTAGGCTCTTTACATCCCTCCTCCATCCTCCTCCTCCTCCTCCTCCTCCTCCTCCTCCTCATATTGCTCTCTCTCTCTCTCTCTCTCCCACGAACACCACATGTGCCTGAGAGCACCGTAACTCGCCCGCGACCGCCGCACCGATGCGGATCTCTATGCGGATCCCCATGAGGATCCCTCTGGGGATCCCGACGCGCATCCCTATGCGGATCCCTATGCGGATGCCTATGGGAATTGCATGCGGATCCTTTGGCGGATCCCTATGGAAATGCCTTTCCGAAATGCCATGCGGATCCCTCTGCGGATCCCTATGCGATTGCCCCTGGGGATCCCTATGCGGATCCCCATGCGGATACTATGCGGATCCCTATCCAGATCCCTAGGCGGATGCCTATGCGAATTGCCATGCAGATGCCTATGCGGACATCTGTGCGGATGCCTATGCGGATCCTTCTTGGGGTTCCTAAGCAAATCCGTGCAATCAAAATAGGCTCCAGGTCGTCTGGCTCTCGTGGCGGGTTTTGGTTGGCGCGTCGTCAGAGGCCTCCTTCGCGGGAAGGTGCCGAGTCGGCGGAACTGGTACGCCGCGTGGTGTGGCCGCCCGTGGGCGGCAGCGGGATGATGCTGTCTGGAGGGCGGACCCTCCCCGGGGCCCTGGGGCCTCCTGTGGGATCCATGCCGCGCGAGGGACAGCCGGCGGCACGAACAGGAACCCTCCGAGGTCCGACGCGATCTCTTGGGTCGGCGCGGGGCCCTCCGGCGCCGCCCCTGGCTGCCCTGGCTCGCTCCGCGCGGCAGAGAGGGGGGGGGAAGCTTACATTTTTGGATCCGCGGGTCGAGAGCGCACCTCGTCCGGTCGAAGCGAAGCGGGCCGCGCGAAGCTTGACTTAACAAAGAGGGGGGCACAGAAGGAGGGCGGCCTCACGGCAAGGCCAGGAGGATGGGGGGGGGTCCCTAAACTAGGAGGCAGCTACTGGGAGGTTTTCGTCGGAAAGATGAAAGAGGATTGAGCCCCGTTTGGGAGCTGTTACGCCAGAGTGGGCCTCGGATGAAGCGGGATCAAGCCGGATCAAGCGGGATTCAGCGGGATCAAGCCGGATTTCGGACCAGAGCAAAATCAGAACTTGACCTCCAAGGAGTTGCATCCGAACCTAAACACTGCTTGCACCTAGGGGCTCTTACTTCTCTGCTGTACGGACCTGGGCCTGTTGGGCGGCCCCGCAGCTCCGTGGTCGCCGTCGCCGCCCCGTCGCCGCCCGTCGTCTGGGCCTGGGCGCCGCTCTGGCGGCTCCGCCTCGCCCCTCGACTCTCGGCGCTCTGCTGCTGAAGAGCGCCAGGCCTCCGAGGCAGAGCGAGGGCGTGGCGTGCTGACGGGCTCTCCCAGCGCTGGCGTGTTTAGGGGTCCACATGCGAACCCTACTTACCCCTACCCCCCACGATCTCTGAGGGGGAGGGTGGCGTTCACTTCGTTCGGGAGCTCCCGAGCGAAGTGAACCCCACCCTCCCCCTCAGAAATCGTGGGGGGTAGGGGTGGGGTTCGCATGTGGCTCCCTAATGCTCTCTCCAGGCCGCGGCCCCGGTTTTGTCCCTCCGTCGAGGGCCCACTCTTGGACGGCCCCAGGGCCCGAGGGCGGCCCCGAGGGCCGCAGTCGAGGACCACCGCCGGGAGGAGGAGAAGCCAGTCGTCGGAGCCTTTGTCGGCCCCCCCTCCAGTTGAGCAGGGACCGACCGTCCCGGCATTCCTGTAGTCCTACCACGAAGCGTTCTTAGAGCCCCCCAAATGCTCTAAGAACAAAAACACAATGTTCTTAGAACATAAACCCGATGTGCCAAAACAAAACAGTCCCAGCCAGAAATGTTATAAGAACATGTCGTTGAAACCACAAAGAAGGTTCTTAGACCATTGTTTGGTAGGGCTATAGGCGAGCCAGGACGCTTCGCCACTGCTTGATCCAGGCGTACCCTTTCACAGTCCCGGCAAGGCAGGCGTTCAGCTCCGGGTAGAAGACGGAGACCCCGAAGCCGATGGCCTCCGGGCCGTAGGGCCTCTCGGCCTGGGCCTGCACCTGGGAGAAGAGGCGCCGGCACGCAGGCAGAGTCAAGCTCTCGGAGGTCCGCGCGGACTTCCTGGACCGGCGCTGGATGGGCGATCTCCATCTCACCACTGGGCCTAGGCCAGAAGAACATCCTTCAAGAACACGAGGCCCTCCGCCGGCCGAAACACACAGAACATCCAAGGGAACCCTCCCCGGGATGCACAAGCACATCCAACACACACACAACACACAACGCACCACACACAAGACACAAGACACAAGACACAATATACAAGACACACACACGAAGAACATGAGGGTACCCTCTCCGCACCGATCTCGATCTGATGCCTCGGCCCGACTGTACCCATGCCCCCTGCTCGCGCCCCGACTCCCGCGAGGGGCCAGAACGGTGACGTGGACGAGCTGCCGGCCCCCGGGGCCACGCTTCCTTGCCCCTGCCCTGCTGCACCCTGCTGCGCCCCAGGGGGGCAGCAGCCGAGGGTGCGCCTCGAAGGCCGATCGCCGACGGGACACCCCCGGCCAGCTGGCCATCGCTCGGACGTCCATTCCCTGTGCTTTGTTCGGTTTCGTGCGTGGCTCTTTCGCCACATGATCAAGGATGCTCCTCGATGGTCCTCGCCGAAGGAGAAATAAATGCACACGTCCGAGCGATGCCAAGCCAGGGCCACCCGTTGGGGATGGTGCACGGGCCCCGGCCTCGGCCACACGAGGGCGCACGTAGCGCCCCTCCGAAAGACCCGCGCGGGGGCCTTCCGACGTTCTGTGCTGTCCGTGCCGGTCTCTCCCTCCTTCGACTGGCCATCGCTCGGACGTCCATTCCCTGTGCTTTTTTCGGTTTCGTGCGTGGCTTTTTCGCCAAGTGATCAAGGATGCTCCTCGATGGTCCTCGCCGAGAAAAAATGCACACGTCCGAGCGATGCCAAGAAAAGACCCGCGCGGACCTCCGACTTTCTGTGCTGTCTGTGCTGGCCTCTCCCTCCTTCGAGGTACGCCCGCCTGGCCAGGGCCTGGGCCCAGGCACCATGAGGGGTCCACATGCGACCCTACCCCTGACCCCCCACGATTTCTGGAGGGGAGGGTGGGGTTCACTTCGCTCGGGAGCTCCCGGACGAAGTGAACCCCATCCTGCCCCTCAGAAATCGTGGGGGGTAGGGGTGGGGTTCGCATGTGGCCCCCTAATGCTCTCTCCAGGCCGCGGCCCCGGTTTTGTCCCTCCGTCGAGGGCCCACTCTTGGACGGCCCCAGGGCCCGAGGGCGGCCCCGAGGGCCCAGGGCCCGAGGGCATGTGGCCCCCTAACCATCACCGGGGTCCTGGACGGTCCTGGCCGGCGTCGCCGCGGCGGCTCCCGCGACACGCGGGGCCTCGCACGCCGGCGGCGCGTGGCTCTGCTTGTTGCGGGGCGGGGGGCTGGGAAGAGCGCGGGGCGTGGACGCCTGGGGCCTGGGACCCAGACCCCCTCGAGTTATGAAAAAATCATGACGGGAGGTTTTCATTATTTTTGGCCTTTGGGGGCCCTTACCGGCCCTCGGGACCGTCAAAAAACGACTCAGGACGAAGAACCGGTCCCGGGGAAAGGGTCCAGACCGCTGGGGGTCGACGTCATGAAAAATTCATGACGTCGGGGGTCTGGGGACGTGCTCGGCGTGTCGCGCCGAGGCGCGGTGGGCCCGAATCGGAGGCGCGGCGCGCTGAGCAGAAGCTTCTGATCGCCTGTCTGTGCGGGCTTTTCGGAGAAGGGCGACTCGAGGCAATAGGTGGTTTAGGGCGTCTCCTCTTCCACCCCTCCCTCGTCCCCTTCGGGGACGGGTGCACCCCTCCTCCTTACCCCCTCCCCTGGACCTGGACGGGGCGATTCGCGGGTCGTTGAAGCGTCCATAACGGCCTCGGCGAGGAAGCCAAGATCATCGGTTATACTCGGCTCTGGGCCCTATTTGGGCCTTTTTGGGGGCTCCCGAGGGGCAATGCGAATTGCGACCCTCCCCTTCTTTGATCGATCTCCTCCAAGATGGTCCCAAGAGGCCCCCAGGAGGCCCTCAAGAGGACCCCAAGCGGCCCCAAGATGGCTCCGAGATGGCCCCTAAGAGGCCCCAAGGAGGCCCCCAAGAGGACCCCAAGCGGCACCCCCCCGAGGCACCCACGACGCCCAGGAGCCCTCCAGGACCGCCGAGAGACCCCCAAGACGTCCCAAGAGTTCTCCAAAAAGCGCCCAAGAGATATCCCAAGAGGCTCCGAGAGGCATCCAAGAGACCTCTAGCCCTTTTGCTTGCCCTCCTCCTCCTGCTCCCCCTTCCTCCTCCTACTCCTCTCTTCCTCCTCCTCCTCCTCCTCCTCCTCCTCCTCCTCCTCCTCCTCCTCCTCCTCCTTAGCGTCCTATCAATATTTCCCTCTCCCCACTCCCTCATCCATCCATCCGGCCTCCTCCTTCTCCTCCTCCCTCCTTCGCACGGCTCGGCCGCCCACCTCTTTGCTCCTGCACTTCTCTGATCGCCTCACCTCGCCTGGACATCGTTTCTGGATGGGCTCGTGCCGCGGGAGGCAATCGCGACCGCGGCGAGGCATTCTTTGATGTCTTTTTTTTGGGGGGGGGGATACTTTTTGAGAATCCTGGTAATTTTCTGGTCGCGACCGCGGCGGGGCCATCGGGCGGCGTCCAGGGGCGAAGCGCAGCGGCGACGGCCCGAAATCAGCGCACGGGCAGGGCCGCGCCCGGGCGCGGCGGCGAGGCCTCCCCCCCTTCCGAAGGCCGGCCGGCCGCCGCCGCCTCGGCGCGCCCTTCTCCGAGCTCTGGCGCCGCGGGCAGTGGGAAGGGGCCCATGGGACACACAGATAGAAATATGCCCCACTTCTTCTGGGTGGTTGTCTTCCCGCCCATATTTTCCCATATCTTCCCATATTTTCCCATATCTTCCCATAGTTTCCCATATTTTTCCATTCATTGTGTCTGTGTGTGTGTCTGTGTGTGTGGGGCCCTGGGACACACAAATATAAATACACACAAATGAAAATGTGCCCCATATCTTCTGGGTGGTTGTCTTCCCGCCCAGTTCCCACATTTTCCCATCTTTTCTGGGGAATCGACGATTCATTGTGTCTGTGTGTGTTGTTCCCCTCCTGAAGATGACGCGTCGTCAGGAAGCACGGCCGGAGCCCTGAGACCCTGTCGTTCTGCTGCTCCCTTCGCGCCAGATCGATCCGAAATGGTCCCGGGACCTGAAGCCTGGCGAACACGCCCGTCGTTCGAGAGCTGCAGCGCCCGTGTCTCAGGGAAGGGGGGATGAGGAGGAAGGACCAGAAAGAAGCGTATGATGATGCTGGTGATGATGATGACAGTGGTGATGAGAATGATGATTATGATGATTATGATGATGATGAGGATGAGGATGATGATGATGCTGATGCTGATGCTGTTGATGATGATGATGATGATGATGATGATGATGATGAGGATGATGGTGATGCTGCTGAGGATGATGATGATGACGATAATGCTGATGATGATGATGATGATGATGATGATGATGATGATGATGATGATGATGATGATGATGATGATGATGATTAGGATGACGATGATGGTGATGCTGCTGATGATGATGCTGATGCTGCTGATGCTGCTGAGGATGAGTATGGCAATGGTGATCATGCTGATGGTGCAGGTGGAATGATGATGACGATGATGCTGATGATGCTGATGATGATGGTGGTGATGGTGATCATGATGATGCTGATGATGATGATGACGATGATGATGATGATGATGATGATGATGATGATGATGATGATGATGATGATGATGATGATGATGATGCTTCGGATGATGATGCTGATGCTGATGATGCTGATTATGATGGTGATGATGATGGTGATGATGACGCTGCTGCTGCTGCTGCTGATGATGAGGAGGAGGAGGAGGAGGAGGAGGAGGAGGAGGAGGAGGAGGAGAAGAAAGAGGAGGTGGAGGAGGCGGAGAAGGAGGAGGGTGCCGAGGCGGATGAGGAGGAGAAGGAGGAGGAAGAGGAGGAGGGGTAGGAAGAGGGACAAGAAGGAGGAGGCGCAATAAGGGGGAGGAGGAGGAGGAGGAGGAGGAGGAGGAAGAGGAGGAGGAGGAGGTGGAGGAGGAGGTGCAGGAGGAGGAGGACGGGCAAGTAGGCGGAGCACCTCCCTGGGCAGCGTGCCCCGCGGGCGCCAGGTCCGGTCGAAGAGGTCCGCCCAGACGGACTCGGCGCCCGCGTCGCGGTCGGCGGCGCGCGAGCAGCACGCGTAGCGGCCGAGGTCGCGCACGCCGAGGAAGGCGACGATGCTCCGCCTCTTGGCCGCGCGCACAAAGGGGGGGTACGGCCAGGCCCAGGGCAGACGAGCAGCCATCAAGAACATGAGGCCCATCCGCCGGCCAAGCCGAGGAGCACTCGAGGGCACCCGCTCCCGGGATGCACAAGAAGAGCCGTCGGACACGAAGAGTATTGGGGTACCCTCCCCGAGCCGACCTCGATCTCATGCCTCGGCCCGACCGTGGGGAGGGGGGGGAAGGCTGCCTAGAAGGAGGCTGCTTCCCAGAGGGCGCCAGCTTTGCATCTGTAGACAGGGCCCGCGCCTCCTGAGAGGCAGTCTCGTCCTAAGCAGTCTTCCCCCATCCCCACTTCGGGAGCGGCCAAGAGCAGGGCGTCCAAGAGGGAGGGGGTGCAAATCACGGCCGACGGCATGTGCGCGGCCCAGGGGGAGGGCCAGGGACGTAATGAAATAAGAAAAGGCGCCATGAAATCTTGGGAAACATCACGACCCCCGCCATGATATCCACCCCCCCCTAGTCATCACCCCCCTCTTTGCCGCCCCCGACCCCTGCCCCCCTCTGCGCGTGGCCGGGCCTCGTGTGGTCGTCCGCGGGCTCGAGCGGGACGGCGCCCATCGCTCGGGCGGCTCCGCTGGGGGCTGGGCCTCGCTGTGCCAGGGCGCGGCCGGGAGCCCTGCTCGCTCGAGCCAGGCGGGCCGCTCTGGGAGCTCAACAAGGGCTCCCAACTTCGCGCTTCGCGCTGCGCAAAGCGCGAAGTGCGAATAACTTAGCGCTCTCGCGCCGCCTCCCAGGGGAGAAAAGGAGGACGAGGAGTAATCGGAGCCGAACCGCGAAGCGCGAATAACTTCGCGCCCTCGAGGGCGCCCTTGCTCAAGTACAGTCAACCCGGATCATAAGGGTGCGCGGTAAGGATGCAAGGGCCCTGGAGAGCCACGCTGACACTTTGCCAGCGGGGCGCGGCCAGCGAAAGCGACCAAGGATGGGCCGAGGAGGTGAGGATGCAAGGGCACCCTTGGGAAGGCTGTCCATCCTTACTATGCGGGTTGACCGTATGTTGGCATCCCTTAGGGTTGCATCCTCTGCTTCCGCTGGCATCAGCCACCTTCCGGCGAAGAAGAGAGGTCAGCCACTCGATCCCTCGAAAGCGAGGCACCGTCTGGAGCGTCCACTGCGCCACCCCCTTGTGCAGACACAGGCGACTGAGCACGCGATCGCGCGAACGGTAAGTTCCCTTCCCACCCCTGTTGCCCTACTATGTATGGATGTTACTATCGTACTGGGCCGTTGCATGGTCCATCACCAGCCGACTTCCTCAACCAACCAATCCTCAGACTCCTTCTATGCGTCGCGCTGCATGCTGGGCATCACTCCGAGTCAACTCGAGCAGAGCGGGATCTCGAATGGAGCGAAGCTCGCAGGCGCAGGGTGGGGGCGACGAGATCTGTACAGCCACTGGCCAGGCCCATCCTGAACCCAGGAGCTGCATATATATATATATATATATATACACGTGAGTATATATATATACATATATATATATATATACACGCCTTCCTGGCCAGGCCAGGCGGCCAGGAGGGCGGATACACCGCTCCTGGGCCCAGGATGGGCCTGGCCAGGGGCAGTGGATGTGTACGGATCTCGTCGCCCGAGGGGTGGGGGGCGGCTTGGGGGACCGTGCCCGCGACGAACTGGTCGCGCAGGTGGAGTGCCCCAGCGCGCCGAGCTCTGCGGGAGGCCTCTGCAAGAGTCTTCGGAGCAGGCCTGCGCCGCCGCGCGCTGGCGGAGCCCGAAGGTGGGGCGCCACCCGCGCCCAGCGGCAACGCAACCGAAATCCGACCGAACCGACAGTGAAACCGAAACCGGCCGAAACCGACGGGCTGCAAGCAGCCTGGAACCCCGAGATCTGGGCGTTGCATTTGTTCCAGCCGTCCTGTGGAGTTGGGTCCTCGCTTTGGAGAGACAGCGCCGCGCGCCCCTTCTCTTCCTCCCTTTCCTCCTCCTCCTCCTCCTCCTCTCCTCCTCCTCCCCCTCTTCCTTCCCTCCTCCCATAATCATTACCATCGTTATCGTCATCGTGCTGGTTGTCATCATCATCAACAACATGATGGCCGTCATCATCATCATCATCATCATCATCATCATCATCAGCAGCATCATCATCATCATCATCATCACCATCATCATCATCATCATCATCATCATCATCATCATCAGCCTCATCGTCATCATCACCACCATCATCAGCAGCATCATCATCAGCAGCGTCATCATCGCGACGCTCAACCATGCCAGGACATTTTGTCTGCCTCAGGCCAGTCGGGTCGAGCAGGACAGGACGGGCCACGCTCCAAGCTCGGCGGAGGAGAAGGAGACGAACGAACGGCACAACACACACAGCACAGACACACACCACAAACACACAAACACACCGAACGAGAGAGGAAGAGAGAAACAGAAAAAGAAGGGAGGCAGCGGGCGGGTCAGAAAAAGGCTTGGGCCGAACCGGTAGCAGATGCACGTACCGCGCGGCCCTCCAACGCTCAGCGATTACTGTTCAAGAGCTCCCAATCGCGACGCTCAGCAGGCCAGGACATTTTGTCTGCCTCGGGCCAGGCGGGTCGAGCAGGACAGGACGGGCCACGCTCCAAGCTCGGCGGAGGAGAGGGAGACGGACGAACGGCACAACACACACAGCACAGACACACACACACACACACCACACACACACACACCACAAACACACAAACAGACCGAACGAGAGAGGAAGAGAAAAACCCCAAGCCTCCCCGAATGGGATTCTGGCATTCGCCGCAACTAACAATCTGTCGGAGTCGGCTTAACTTCAGCGACTGGATCGTTTGTTCTAAGGCCAGGGCAAACAAGTTACAAAAACGGACGGGGTACGGCTCCGCGACACTGGTCCACAGTTTGCCCGAGCCTGGGTCACGGCCAGAGAGAACTATGTGGCGTTTACCAGAAAAGCTGCACTGGCCGGAACGCCCGCGGCACGGCCCGGGGAGGTTTACCCGAAAACTGGAACTCCAGACCTGCACCCGAGTGCGCCTTCGCCAGCGGGTTCCGAAGGCACAGAAATCCACGACACACTGGTGGCTATCGGGCCGCTCCGAGGGGCGGGCGAGTTGAGACTTCTGCCACGTCCAGCTGCTACTAGGATTCTCCAGCGCCACAGGCACGTGATTGTTGCGGCACGCACGGATCAGGGAAAGACTAAACTTAAGTTGAGAATTGCCCTTGTCACAGGCACGGCGGGCACGGGGGTTCAGATTGAGCATCCCCCAAAGGTGAGAAGGGCTTCTGAGACGGCACCAGCTGCTATTTGGAGGCCCATGACGAGCCTGAGACCACGAAAAACATGGCGTGCCAATCCAGAGACTGACGACGACGCCCCCCGTGATCCCCCCCTCGCGATCTTCAGGATGCACGGCTTATCCAGATTGAACCAGGGGAGCTTTAAAATATCTACGGACACCACCCCAAAACCGAGGTTTCGCATCGCTTTTGACATGCCCCCTTGGCCTGAACACAGCTCCAGAAAAACCTGCTTCCTTCAAACTTGGGCGGAGGCCAACGCCTTTCTCAAGACTCGACGCGCCCTCACTTTCACCTCGCCATCGCTCAGCGACGCCCCGCTGGCAGCGCTGGCAGCGGCGGCAAGCCCTCGCGCTTCAGGAAGATGGGCCCTGGCCTGGCGGCGACGCGCCGGCCGAACTCAAGCGTCTGGGCTGGCGTCTTTTGCAGCTCTGCCAGGGCCCTCGCCTCCTTGCCGTACCTTTTCAGCCTTGAGTCTGAGTGCCAACGCCCCCTTGACTTGACCTCCACCGCCGAGCGCGCGCTGGTCAGCAAGTCGTGCGACGCGCCGCCGTGTCGGAGGCCGTAGGCGGTCAGCTCCATCTGCCCCGGCCCCAGCGCCTCAGGTCGTTGCGGGTGAAGCTCCCAAGCCTGTCGGCCATGCGCTGGCCGCGCCGATTGAGCACCGCGAGGCACTCGTACAGGTACCCGACTCCGTCCAGGGCGACCATCTCGTCGAAGTCGCCTACCTTTGTCGGCGCCCCCAGCTCGCTCGGACCCAGCAGCGAAGCCCATTGTGGCTGTCCGAATCCAGCGCCCGCCACCGGCGCGACCAGCTGCACGGGCGTCAGCGCATCCCGCTTGCCCGGGGCGAAGGTGGGCATTGAAGGCCAGCCGCAGCGCCGCAGCGTGTTCCAGCGTGCCCCATGGACAGTAGATGCCCAGCCAGCGCCGCTGCAAGAGGCCACGGCCCTGGCATCCGCGTTGCTCGCGGCGCCACCTTGGCCCAGCCAGCCAGCGCCCTGGTCGCCCTCGGCAAGCTCAGCGCGTCGTACCTCCCGACCTGGGGGCGCTTGAACTTGACCGCGGCAAAGGCCTTGCTGGCCACGCCCCTGGCACGCCCCAGGAAGAACCGCCTGTCCATGTACTGCACCAGGGCCAGGTCGAGCTCCCCGACTGTGGTCCAGCTCATCCCCGCCTGCAGCGCCCAACCCAAGAAGGCTTTGGCTCTCATCAGGTAATCCGAAAGGGGCGCCTTGGCCACGGACTCCAGGAAGGACGGGGGGCACGAGCCCGGGAGGGGCGCCGACTGGGGCGATGGCGCGCTGCACCAAGTCCTCCTTGCGGTCGCCGCCGCAGCCGACGTGATGCCAATCATCTTCGCCCAGTCGCCTTGCGGGGCTGCCAGCTCCGTCCTCTCGCGCGCGCGGGCCCGCCCGCTCCTTGCCTGCGCAGAGGCTCGGGAACTCTGGCACGGCTGGCAGCGCCCCGGGCCAGGCGCCAGCAGCAGCGGGCCCCGCCTCGGCGGCCTCCCCCTCCAACTGCGGCTCGAAGTGATACGAGCCTCGGGACGGGTTATCAGCCGGGTTCCTCTCCGACGGGGCCCAGCGGACGCGCGCGCGGAGGCGGCGCGCCAAGGCGAGGGCGCTGATCTCACGAAGGATATCTCGAAGCTGGAAAGCCGAGGATCGGCCCTTCCCGGCGGCGAGGGCCAGTCCCAGGTTGCCGACCAAGAGCAGAACTCGACGTCCGAAAGCTTTCCGATCTCGAAGGAGATGTCGAAGCGAGTTCGAAAGAGCGAGCCCCTCCAGCCGCAGTATGTTCGCTGGGCCCCGCCAAAGGGAACGACTCGACGATGCGCCATGCCTCTGGGACAGCGAAACTCGCGTCGACCATGTCGAAGGCCCTCGCCTGCGCAGCAGCCTGGCGCAAACTGTCCGGCAAGTCGTCAGACACCAACAGCTGCTCCAGCTTCGCAGAGGCGTTCTCGCCCCCGAAGGCATGGGCTCGAGCGGCCGTGGCGCCCTGGCGGCACTGCCCCCGGCGCGCGATCTCCTCCACGGCCGCCTCGCGCTGACGGACTCCGCAGCCCCAGCGCGAGGCGTCGCTGGCCGTGACCTTGCTGTGCCAGTTGGCGTCCGTGTGAGCCACCATCAGCGGCAGCAAATTCCTGACGTGCCAGAGCTCCTCTCTCACGGCCGGCCACAACTCGCCCTCCTCGATGCCCATGGACTTGACGTAGGCGTACACGGAGCTGAACACCGACAGGGAGGACCGCTGAACCATCGTGATCCAGGTCGCATGGCCTACCACGATCTCGAGCACGAGCTCGAGCGTCTGGGCTGGCGCCTTGTGCAGCTCTGC